ATATCACACATACGCAGCATAGGCTGGCTTCTAAATGTGTAGCGCACACAAAAGTCAAATAGAAGTGAAAAACAAGCCAAAAAAACAACAACAATAACAACAATAGAGTAACCACAGCAGAGAGAGGCACAAACAGCGCCAGTCAGTGCGACGCCGACACAAACATGGAGAAGAAAAAAGTACAAAAACAAAGCGAAACTAAATAAAATAGAGGAAAAACAAATGCCAAACAGACAATGAGTTAGGCCGGGATATGGTGGAATGCCCCAGCGAAAGCAATCAAAAATCAATTTATTGATTACACGACAAATATATCAAGCATAATATATACATATGTATGTATGCTGGCTTAAGAGGCTTGACCATGAAAATTCAAATGTATAATGCATAGAGGCTCTTAATATGACATATGATGTAAATTATGTAGAGTGGTGGGTGGCGGGTTGGGTGGTTAGCTGAGCCGTTAGATGGTTGGTTGCTTTTACCTGGCGCTCGACATAGCTGAACGCTCCTCCTCCTCCTGCTGGCCTGCCTGCTGTGTTGTCGCTGCTATTTACGCTAGTTGGCTAACTGCCAGCCCGAAGCTCAGTGCTTGGACACGAGTTGTTTTAGTCATTTAATGTTAAATGCACAACAATTTCGCACAGTGCATTGTAATCTTCGCTTAACTATTGTTATTGAACGTTTTTGTGTGATTGAGACTTTACGAGCGCTTTGTGTCACTGGCCGCCTGGCATTGCCTTTAATTAGCCACGTCGACGTGACGCGTTGCAAGCAGCCCGCACTATGGGCCAAATACGTTGCCAACTATTTCGCTATGTTCCGCACTCGCAAGAAAAACAGCGTAACGTTCACTGAAATTGGCCGCAATTGACTGAATGCTCAATTGAAGCTTTTCCTTTGCCATGAAAAACGAAAGCTTTTCCTGACAGGCAGACGATGAGACAGAGAGAGCGAATGAGAGAGCATGGGAGAATTTCGCTGTGACTCCTGCGCACTGGCGATTGTTTACGTTTGCTTGAACAGTTGATTGCACCGGCCTCGGCTCTCTGCTTCTTGCTCTTTGATGGCAACGAGTGGTTGCATTGGACAGGTAATAGAATTTATTACTCTCAACGCTGCTCAAGTGGGTGACGAGTGTCATTTATTTTGAGCACAAATGTGCGCGCCTTTTCGTTTAAGAGTCTTTTATTTGCCAACGCATCGAAATATTCGAGCTAAAAATGTAATTTAATGAGAGAAAAATTTTGGATATCGATTTTATAGTTTTTTTGATAGAATGAAAATATTTAAAAAATGTATATAAATTTTACAGCATCTATTAAGTGAAGAATAACGAATTTAAATCTGAAAGCTTAATTTAATTATTATTATTTTTAATGAATAAACGATGTTGACAGAGTTGTCATTATATTTCCACTGGGCTTTCCCTTAAATGAAAAATTGATCAAATATGTTAATGTATTTCTTAGAATAAATAAACAAAGCTGAGCTCATCTTAATCGGATGGGGTTCCCTTTTAAATTTGGCATATTTAAATACACAAGAAAAAGGCAGCATATCTCATTAAATCAGTTTGGTCTTTTATATTTTTATGACATATTAATAATTTAGTTTTATTTAAATCTTAAATTCCATAGTCTGATTTAAAAATAAATCTGACTATATACATTGTTGACTATTTATATCGGATGCACATTAGCTATTGATTAAGAACATATCATAGAAACGATTTGAACAAAAAGCTAACTAAACCCATAGTTGTTGCTGCTTTGGCTATCAAAACTCGTTCACTCCGCTTCAACCGGTCCAACTTATTGCGCAGAATAAAATAAGGAATACAAATACAAATATCAAACATAATGTACCAAGTTTCATTAACATAAAGTCTGTGGAATCTAGATGCTAGTAGAAAAAGAGACGCAGAAGAGAAAGAAGGGGGGAGACATAAAATGAGCGCCAGACTCAGCTAGCAAATGTCTCTAATTGGAATTGTTGTGCGAATCGAATTTATATCTTAGTAAAAAGACAAGTCGAATGCAATTAACCATATGAAATATGGCTTAAATAAATCAAATCCTGGTATAACTTGTTAAGCACACTTAATATTTGTCTTATTAGAAAAAGCAGGAAATTGATTAATTTCTATTATTTAGAGTGATAAACGAATGGAGGATGATAATTATTATATTATAAGAATAATAATTATGTAATATATATTTTTATACCCTGAACCCATTGAAAATGGGAAATCAGGGTATAATGGTTTTGT